TTGCCAGTTAGTGATCTAGAATATGAATTGGATCAGGCCACATGCCTGCTTCCCCAAACCTCCTCTGTCAGCACACCATCTCTGGCTGGTAACAAAGCCAGGGCACAGGCATGGCTGCCCTTTACTTCGCACCCACAGCAGACATCATTAAGCAACTGCCACATTATCTGCTGAGCCTGGACCCGGCCTCAGAATCTGACTCAGCACAGCCTTGCAGGCAGCCATTACCAACCAACCACCGCCCTCAGGATGACAACCGTTCGCCTCCCACTGAACAGAGAGAGCCAGGACTCCTCAGCCAGGCCCTTTGCTGTCGTTTTTCCACCCATATTTTCCATCACTACTTCTAGGCTCCAGCTTCCTTCAACTGCTTCCCATTCCCAGACACACCTGCCCTTTTCTCACTCTCTGAGCCTTGGTCCGGGCTGTGACACAGCCTGGAATGCCCTCTCTGCAGACTGCTAGTCGCTCCTCAGAATCTGTTCTCTCACCTCCCATTGCAAAAAAGTTGCGTCTAGTCACACAGCTTCTAGCAAAACACACTTCCTGGCCTCCCTTGGACCTGGGGGTAACATGTGCTAAGTGCTGGCCAATGTGCTATGAGCAGAAGTAATGCGTGTGGGGTTTTTTTGCCCCAAGTTATACTCTTAAGCGTTTGAACATATACTCCCCTGGGCTCCCTTCCCTTCACACTGGCCAGGGGATGGTGAGAACGAAGTCGCTGCCAGGGGTCCAGAGATGGAAGCCAAGTGATGAAGATGGCAGGTCAGCCTCCCAGCCTGGACCCCTGTCCTCTGGCCTGCTTAGGAAGAGTCCCCCATACCCCCTGCTGGAGTCCCTGTATTTGGGGGTCTCTGGTTATGGTGGAAGCCGAGTCCATATTCTCACTATATGCCCTCCCACCTGCTTCCTGTCCCTTCCATCCACCCTCCAGTGCCACCTCCTCAGTGACGTTTTCCCAGAATCCCAGGCTCCTCTGGGATCCCCTGCACTTCGTGCACACTTCATAGTGGCACACCCTAAACCATGGCTGTGGCCCCTCCTACTAGCCTGGCTGGAGGCAACTCCTCTCCCCTTCACCCCTCCTCTGTACCAGTGCTGGCAATGGCACTAATGCCCAAGCCTGACCATTATCACCCCCGTACCCCCGCTCTCAGCCTGGAGGTCAATGCATGATTCTGGCCCACTCTTCCCCTTGGAGATGAAGCCCAGCCTGTGAAGAGATCTGCTCCAGCAGCTCAGCATGTCGTGGCTCCTTGTGTGTGTGTGCAGCCATGGCCCATCCCGCCTGCTGCCGGCCCCGCCCAGCCCCAGTGTGGCGGGCCTGAAGTAGCTGCTTCCTCGCCGGCTGGAGCCCATATTATCTCAATCCTCCTTTGTTACTGAGAACAGGGGCAGAGAATGGGGAGTCTCCCTGATCTGTGTATTCTTCTCAAGTGGCCTAGAAAGTCCCACAGTCTGTATATCTGTTCCCAGGGCTCTCCTCCTGTCCCACCAGACCACATGCTTTGCAAACAGCCCACACCTATTCCTCTGAACTTCTGGCCACTGTGACCCTTCAAACAAGGCCCGACCTCTGGCATCCCGTCCCAGGGCTGCATGCCCATCACTCCCCTGACAATCAGTGCACGCAGCCCAGAAGCAGGATGCAGCCGGATCTCAGCCAGTAGATGGCTATTTTGGGACAGGGAGGATCCTGGGAGGATGCTGACGAGGTCAGAGTAGGAAGGGAAAGAGGTGGGTTTTCTGCCCACGATTATGTGTCCCAAGCCCTCTGGATGCTGCCCAGGGACCCAAGGCTGCCACAAGGAAGAACACACCCACCACAGGGCTCCAGCCTCGGCCCAGCCGGCCACAGAGGCAAACTGGGGTCAGGCACAGGTCTGGGGCTCGAGACTCCTATCCCCGTGGCCAAAGTGAGCAGGACGAGTGTGTGTTTATTTGTTCAGTCCCAACAGCAAGTGATTTCAGCATCAGGCAAGACTCAGAGCAGTCTTGTAGCCAGGGAAGTGTCAGAAACCAACTGGAGGTCAAATGGAGAACGCCAGAAAGAATCCAATCACCTAGGAACAATTAATGATGATAATTTGTGAACATTCATTGAGCATCTATTCTGTGCATGCACTACTATGGGGAACAATGTTAGGTGCTGGCAAGAAAAAGTGAACAATGCTTTCACTTTGGATGTGGCACTTTAAAATTGTGTAAGTCCTTCTGCAAGCAACAGGGGCCTTAAAGTGGTTCATAAAGCAGTTTATATACTCCGACCCGAAGGCAATAATTGGAGATGCATGATTTAGGTGCAAGGAAAGGGTGGTGTTTTACTCATGACCCTGGGAACTGTAAATATTTCAGAAGGCCAGAACTCCACTGTGTCTTTTTAGAGAGTTCTGGGGCAGGACATCCATCAATGCAAGGTGCTCAGTACCGTGCCGGGCACATAGTGGGTGCTCGGTGAGGGGCAACGGCAGTAACTGCTACTACTCAGAACAGGTTGGCAGGCACAGGGCCCAGGCTTTAGTGTGGAGGAGGTAACTTTACAACCTGGTGAGAAGCCTCAGGTTGGGCAGGGCTGGAGGTGAGGGCACGGTTCAGGAAGCCAGCAGGACTTAGCTTATCTTGGGAGATGCATTTTATTCTGCACTTCTCTTATCTGAGATGCCTCTGGGTAGCTCTCCAGTTCTTCTCTGCTGATTCTCCAAAAAGCTGGGAGAGCATCATACTCTCTGGAATTCTTTAAATTCTATTGCTCACCTGGCTCTGCTCCATATTTTAGGCCAAGCAGCCCTCTGCGGCACTCCCTAACACCCAGGACACTCCTCCCAGCTGCTCCTGCTCACTCTCCTCCCATCTGTCAGCCAGCTCAGTCCCCACTGGTGGCCCTTCCCACCGAGGGCCTGCCTGAAGCCCTTCCTCCTCCCACTACTGCTGATAATGAGCTGCTGATGCTGCTTCACACTTTTTCTTCACCATCCAAGGCTGGAGCACCCTTCCAGATCCTTCTTTCCTCCTCTCACATCTCTTCCCACCTCCCAACCTCTCAGGACCACGTGAGCCAGATTCTCCCAAGCACAAAATCAATACCTATTGGTTAGGTCCCCACTTTGATGGCAGCCAGGATATGAGAAACCCAATCAGACGGGGAAGGGACAGGGATGTGCCCCTGACAGCAGGACACGTGTTTGGCAAGGATTTCAGTGCATCTTTAAAGTGCAAGAGGAATTGAGGAGCCAAAAAAAAAAACAACAACAAAAAAACCCGTCATGCTTACTAGGAATTAGGGAAGTGTTAAGCACTCGCCACAATGATCTCACTGAACCTCTACCACACACCAGCAAGGTGGGTATTATCCACATTATTCAGACAAGGCCACCAGGGCAGAGAGAGGTTAAATAACTCTCTGAAGGTCACATAGCTGGAACTAGTAAATATCAGAGCTGGAATTCAAACCTACATCTTCTGTGGTCCAAATCTCCTGCCCATCACCAGCATTCTATACGTTGAGCAAAAAACAATTACAACTGACCAAGAGTTATGAGGACAACAGACACAATGATTTGGAACATGGGAGGCCCCAGAAACCCGGGTGCACACAGTCGCTCTGCCCAGGCCCGGTCACCCCACCCTCGCTTCATCTCATCTCATTAATCTTGGCATTCTTTTCCCAAAAGCTATCCCAGATCCCAGGGCTCAATCTCCTGGGCCCTGAGGGAGGGAGGGAGCTTCCCAGGGCTTCTGGACACCCTTTTAATTAACCTAGACGACCCTCTTCTGATCAAGGCCAGCTGACTCCCATCATGGTCTCACCAGCTTCCAGGGCAGCACCTGAACTGTGACTCCCCACTGTGACTCAGCCTCCAGCGAATGTGGTCCCTCCATTTCCCACACACTCAGCATCTATCGGCCTCTCCTCCCTGGCTTGAGGACCCTAAGTGAGGCCCCTGTGTCCAGTGGAGGGCCTGCCAGAGAGCCTAGGGAGTGTCCTGCTAAGTGGGGACCCAGGGCCCCCACTCCGAGCTGGCAGAGGCCCAGAGCAGGGCAAACCCTCTGTGGTTCCTTGAATGTGTCCCCTTGTGTCCCACGACCCTTGTTTGGAGCTTCCTCCCTCACCTCCAAAGGGGTACAGCCCATTACTCATGCAAACACGGAAACTTGCTCATCTGTCATTCCTGTAGCTTAATAACAATGGTCGGCAACCTGGAAAAGTCCTTCTGGACAGTGACTTATTCACATTACTAACTGTGGATGATGTGGTTGAATCTGAAGCCCAGAGTGGGGCCAAGCACACAGCAGGGACTCAGGACACAGCTGTGACCAGAGGAGCAGACCTGGTGAGAACCAGGCCGCACAACACAGAGCAAAGAGCACTGGAATCGTGTCTTTGGTAGGGATCTGCCTGTACGGGGTCAGAAAAGGCAAAAGCAGCCTCAGAATCCAGATTAGACTGCCTAGCTTGATCACACCACATCACCCTGCAACCTTAAGCTTGTACACAAGTGTGAGTGTATGTGCGCGTGCGCGCGCGTGTGTGTGTGTGTGTGTGTGCGTGTGCAGCCTAGATACCAGACAGTAAACACATAGCCCCTGAGCCACCTAGCTGGGGCAGGCAAGGTTTTACAATTGCAGGGTAATTCATTCATTCGGGTAACAAGCCCTTTTGAACATCTACTCTGTGTCAGGGGCTGGAGGCACAGCAGTGAAATATGTGAGCCAAGTCCCCGCCCCTGGGGGCTCCTCTTCTCAACTCTGTGTAACATCTGACAGTTTGTCACACCCATTATCTTATCTGATTTCAGTTTGCACAGTATCAGGCCCATAGAAGAGCTGATGAATGAATGAATGTTTGAGTGAATGTATGATGGCTGGGGGATGGGTGGGCCAATCACTGGGTCCATGGAAGGTAAATATCCATCTTCCTGAACAGGGTGTGGTAGGGCCACTGAGAGGGCCTCTGATGTGTGTCCCCTGTCCTAGTCACCCCTTCACAGGGGTGTCCTTACCTGGTGGGCAGTGACATCCTAGAGACATCTTCGGGGCCTCCCGGCGCCTCCGAGAGTGGAGCTTCCATTTCTGCACAAGGAGACAGAGACAAGGAGTCAGTGGGAGTTGTAAATGCCAAGCCCTGGAAAGCGGCCTGGGGCGGGGCAGGGAGAAGGGGCGGCTTAGAGGCTGGCAGGAGGACTGATCCTGCATCAAAGCCTGGCCACCGGGGGCTGGGTAATGAGAAGCAGACGGAGAGGTCCCATCTTGGTAACCTCAGGGTCTGATGTCTTTACAGAGCTCTGAAAGGAATTAACCCCAAGCACAGGACCCTATAAAGCAGTTGTGGCCTTCCTGTGCCTGACACTCATGACACTCAGACACTCACGGCACAACCTGCTTTTCTCAGCTCTCTGCTAATTGTTTCCTGTCTAGGTCTGAGCTCCTGATGGATCTTGGGGTGGGGACAGTGACTTCTTTTCTTCTGTGTCCCTCACAGAGCCAAGCACAGGCAGGCCCTCTGCCCCTCCATCAAACCTCTTTTTCACCAGCTTGCAAATTCTGGAGCCAATCTGGAAGGCCTCAGAGAAGTCGCATGAAGCAGACTGAGTTACCTGCCCTCAAGAAGCTGCCGTTTCGGTGGAGATGGATGGACAAGGACACTCCTGTAAGCACCAGCACCTGGAAAGGGCAGGGTGCTGAGCGCCTCTGTCCTCACCACCACCCCAGGGGGCGGGTGTGGCACATAAACACAGAGGTAACAGGCTGGCCTCTGGAGCCAGACCGCCTGGGTTCCTGCATTGTTCTGGGACCCTGAGCTGATAACAGTTCCGACCTCACTGGGTTACTGAGATGATCAAAGAGGTTGGTGCATAGAAAGAAATGTACCTGACACCCAGGAGGTGTCACTAAATGTTAGCTGTTATTACACTCATTTCATACGTGAGGGACCTGGGCACGGAGAGGGGACTAATCTGGCTGAGGTCAGCAGGGGAGGAGGCTGGGATTTGGACCCCTCTCTCCGAAGCCAGTGTTGCAGTTAAAAGCTGGTAGCCCCAGAGCTAAATTGGCCCTTAGATGTATTTTATTTGGTTTCCACAGTGATTTTGTTTTTTGTTGAATTTGTTGCCAGTATTTTGAAGAGGCTGATTTCCCATGAAAGTCTGCATTTCTAACTTCTTTTAAAAACCTGGAAGACCTGGCCCCATGGGCCCTGTCCTATGGTTGGCTGTGATCGACTCTGTCCTGGGTACTGTGGTCACCACTCTGACATGCTGACCAGTGAGGATGCCAGCTGGCTTCCTATGGGCATTTCCCCAGCAACTGCCTCCTCACTCCTATATAGCTCTGTCACTCACAGTGAGCCATGAGAGACATAAACAAAGTCTCATGGGAGGTGTCGTAGGATTTGGTGTCACTGCTAGTTTGGCAGTGGAGAGAGAAGGTCAGGAAAGCTTCCTGAGGATTCATATCAAACTAATGTGTCTGCTGAGCTTCCCCACCCCTGTCCCCGACCCTGTGTACTGAGCTGGGTACTTTCACACAAGGAATCACATCTGTTTTTCATAATCAAATCCTAAGGTAGGTTTAACAGTGATTTCATTTTTTGCTTAAGGGAAGTGAGGCTCAGAGAGGCTAAGTGACTTGCCCAAGGTCACACAGCCAGTCTGTGGTGGATCTAGGATGAGAACTCAGACCTTTTGATGCAAAGTCTACTCCATCCTGCTGGAGAAAAGTGTGTACAAATTTCCCTGGGAGATGGAGCTCAGCGATAGTGTGAGTGCATGTGTGTGTGTGTGTGTGTGTTGGGGGAATGGGCAGATAGTGTGTGTGGGGAGGGCAGAAGTGGGGGCTGGAGGTCAAAACACACAGGAGGAGGAAGGGAGGAATGTCCCAAAGGGGAGCCCCTCACTCAGTAAGGGAAGCTGGCACACAAATTCTAGGTGGATGAATATGGTGGTGGACACAGAGGCCAACAGGCAAACAAATGATGTCCCAGGACAAGGTCTGGTGGAAGGCACTGTGATGTCCAGCTCTGAGCCTAGCTCACTGGTACCACTTTCCAGGAAGGCACCGTACATACCTACTTCCACATCCCTTCCCACAAACAACCTATGAGCTCTTCAAGGGGCTTATTTGTGGCCGTGTGTGGCACACAGTAGGCATGTGACACAAGTCTGCTAAATGACAGGGCCAGTCAATGCTGACAAGCCAAAGCCAGCTGAATGTGCAACATTATGGCTACAGGGTTTAACCACTAGGGTGGTCACTCATTCAATAACAGCAAGATGCGAAGCATGGGTTCTACCCTGGAGCTGGAGAATGCAGCACAAAGTGGACAGGGGTCCTGCCCTCCTGGGCTCCCCTTCCACTGGAAGAGACAGACAACCAGGGAAACAAGTGAATATACAATTCAGGCAATTACAAGTGCTATAGAGAGCAGTAAAGCAGGGTAAGGGGACAGAGTGATGGAAGGTGGTATTTTAAACCCAGGGGCCAAGGAAGGCCTCTCTGTGCAGGGGACGTTAGAGCACAGAGCTGGTGGAAGTAAGGACATGAGTTGTGCAGAGATCTGGAGGAAGCATGTTCCAGGCAGAAGGAACAGCAGAAGTGAAGGCCCTGGGACAGGACTGTGCATGGAGTGTTTGAGGAAGAGGGAAGGGGGCAGTGCAGTGGGAGTGACTCAGGTGAGGTAGGAGGGATAGGAACGGGGCAGGAGGGCAGGTCTTCAGGGCACTGGCAGAGACTTTGAATTTAGCAGGACACAGATTCCTGACATTTCCATGGCTTACTGACAGCCCTAAAACTCCAGAGCTGGTACGAATGTAGGGTGAGCCACTTGAGTCTCCTGCTCAGGATCAGGCCACTTATCCTTAGCTGCCGGGTGTGTTGGCTGCTGATGGTCCAGCCCCTCTCCAGGGACCGCTCTCAGCTGAAAAAATTGCCTTGACCGGGGTCACGCCCATTCCTCAGGCAACCCATATCCAATTACTTATGGATACTGTCATGGCCCCTGTGCCTCGATTTAGGATGACTCTGATGGCCATCTCAGTGGCAGAGCCCCGTGGGACCAGCTGAGGCCTCTGTCATGACTGCATCACAGCTCAACCCTCTGCCCACCCCTGCTTCCCTCACCCTCTCTAACGTTGATCCCAATAAGCCTCTTGCTCACACACCTCCACTTCAGAGCCGGTTTCTCTGGGAACCTGACCTAAGGCAGAATTGGCAGTGACTTTCACGTTTCCTGAGACTTCACCTGACCCTCACCTTCACCCTTTGCAATAGTCAGGCCACAAATCAGCCCCACTGTATAATCAAGGAGACTGAGACAGAGAGGGAAAGGGAATCGCCTTGAACAGGTAAGGCGCGGAGGGCTACAATTCCAAGGCCTTCACCTCAAGTTCAATACTTCTGTTCAATCCCTCCAATGTATATGGAGCCCTACTGGTTGTGAGACCATGCAAAATGGAGGACAAGACACAGTCCCCATCTGCAAAGGGGCTTGAGCCTCATGTGGGAGAAGCACGGAGAAGTGTCCGGGTGACTGCAGACTTTGAGAGCTGAGTGGGTGTGGGAGCCCACGTGCCCAGGGAAGGGTCCAGCCCGAAGAAGCCAACCAAGGATTTGAAGCAGAGGAGGCACGTGGTCAAATGTGGCCGGCATAAGGGCCCTCCAGCAGCATGTTGACAATAGACCAGGACAGTGAGAAGGCTGGTGGCTGACGTTCCTCTCTGGAGACTGTTGCCGCCATCCATCCAACAGAGAGACACTGGTGGCCTGGGCTGCCGCACGGCAGCAAAACAGGGAGCGGTGGACAAGGGGAAGGGATACACAGGAGGAAGAAGGGATGGGCGCGGACGGATTTGGTGTGGGGGTCGGGCTGGGCTCTGCCCTGGGCAGTCAAGATGCCCCCATCGAGGGAGGTGGAAGGTGACGAGTTTGGTTGGGGACAAGCTGAGTTAGTGGAAGGGTCCAGGTGGGCAGGGGGACACATGTGGCTCTGGGGCTCAGGGGAGAGGCCTGGATGAGGAAGGTGGACCTGGGAATCAGAAGCCTTCAACAGGAGGGGCAGGAGACATCTGAGAGGGCCAAGCTACCAGGGACACAGAGGTGGGAAACTGGCTAACTTCAGGGTGTGGTTTCCTGGCCCGCCCAATGGTTATTTTTGAAAAGCACTAAATCCCAACATCACCACAGACCTTCCAGAGTCCGGGCTTCAACCCCACCCACTGACCCTCGCCCGCAGCTCACTCCTCATTCTCAATCCCAGGAATCCTTCCAGCCGCGGACCTTCAGTCCATTTTACTGTCTCTGGCGCACCATGTTTCACCTCCCTCCTTGCCCAGCTCAAATTCTGTGCCCAGTCATTATAATCACTCCCCTGGCTCCACCCTCGGCTGCCTTGATGCCTTTTGCCTTCAGTGCATTCTCTTGGCCAAGCTACAAACCTGGTGGATGCAACGTTTCCGCTGCCTCAACACCACCAACAAAGCAGCGAAGGAAGCTGGGGAAAGTGCACAGGCTTGCTGAGTGGCCTCACTTAATTCATGAGCATCATCTCAGATGAAGCCCAGCAAGCATGTTCCGTTTCCCCAGTCCCTCCATCTCACCGTCCTAGTAGTTCTCACACCTTCTCTCTCCCAACTTCAACCACACTGTCACCTGATGACCTTGAGAAAACAGAAGCAGCAGAAGAGGTCTTCCAGGGGCTCCCACCCCCAGGCACACCCGCCCGCACCGTCTCCCTCCTCTAGTCTCACACAGCATGCCAGGTCTTCCCCTGCCCACCTGCTCCAGGACATCACTCAGGCAAGTCCCCTCTCCCGCCTGTATCATCCATTTCCTCCTCCAGACCAGATCACTTACACTGGGATTGGGAAACGTTTTTTGTAAAGGCCCAGCTAGTAAATATTTCAGGCTGTGTGAGCCATACGATCTCTGTCACAACCACTCATCTCTACTGTCGTAGGTGAAAAGCAGCCTTAGACAATGCGAAAGCAAAACCAGCATGGCTGTGTTCCCGTAAAAATGTACTTAGAAAGTAATAGTCTTCCAGCGGGGTTCAGCTGTCTGCCCACTCTGATGCGAAC